GCCGTTTTTTTATAAAAAATTTCTCTATACCGGTTCTTGATAGCAAGGATCTTTTGAGCTTAATTTACAGAAATAAGCCAAAAAGAAAAAGAAGTGGAAATAGCCAATAAAAAAGAAAAAGAGAAGGAAAACAAAATATGAATAGGACATTTTTTGTAACAAGTGGTGGACCCAGCATTATTTTTTTATGAATTGAGTAAAAAAGATGAATTGGGATTCTAAATAATGAATAGCATTTGATTTGATCATTTTGGATCACTTTTTTGCTTATTTGTCACTTCTTCTTGCTTATGATCAAATTGACCAGCCATTGCTCATAACACGCAGTATTCCATTTTGAAATTTTATTCTAGAATGTGACTCAGTGATTTTTTTGATTTTGTTTTCAAATTATTTTTTAAATTGAAATAAAACCCAAAACAAAATTTTAAAACAAAAAAAACAAAAAAACAAAAATCAAAAAAATCAAAAACAAATAAAGAAAAACCACTCATTTTTCAGTTTGATTGAAACTCAATTCAATAATAAGAGAAACGAGTGAAAGCGAATGAAAAGGATCAAATAAGTAGCGAACCAGTTAAATTGGACTGTTTATTTATATAATTAATCGATTGAAATTGTTGATAACATTTATAGAAGTAACGGAAATATGTAAACATGTAAATATGTGAATTGAAAATATGTAAATAACACAGCAGGTAGTGACTAAAAATGAATTATCCGTGGTTGATTAGGATAAAAGGGGAATGATTGTGTGGAAGATAAACACCAATGAAAATAAATAAATTAGTAATTGCCAGTAAACGACCAGAGAGACAAAATTATTAGAGATGAATTAAATTAGAAATAAAATATACAATTTTTTGATTTTTTTTGTAATTTGATGATTTAATTGAATTTAAATTATTGGTTGCAATTTGATTAGAAAAGTCAGTATGAAATGAAAACTCTTTTTGGTTTATTTGTGATTTTTATTTTAATAGGTGAAACAGAGAGGTAATGTTACTTTAAGCTTTTTGCTGAAAATGAGGGTTTACAGTACTAGTTTTCCGATTAACCACTAATCAGAAATTGAGAAAACTAAAAAAAAATACAAAAAAAATAAAAGAAAAAAGAATAAAAAGAATGTCCAGATCGAAACAATTGATCATATAGCTCAATGGCCAATGATAACGCCATTATTGAAGCCTATTCAATTGAGTTTGTAAATCAAATAAACTTGTGTTAAAACAAAACTCTTTTTTCAAGAAATAGCGATTGAAAAAGCGATTGCAGTATTATTGAATTATTTTTTAGATTTTTGAGAAATGTGATATCTGAAATATGTTTCATTATCATGGTACATGTTTGTTTTGAATTAAATATTATCAACAAAAAAATAAACAGCAAAGGACAGACAATAGCAGAGCACAATGCTCAATGTTGCTGCAGCTATTGGTCTCTTTTGCTACAAAACACATGAAAAAGCACAAAATTGAACAAGAAAAAACCATGACGAAAGGGACAAAGCAAGCAACCTACCAAGACACCACAAGAGGCTCGCTGATCAGGCAATTGGAGGACAGAACAGCTCTGTTTCAAGCCAAAGCGACAGAACAACAGCAAGATGTTTGATCTGGGGAAGTTGTGGAAAAAAAACACGCACCAAAGCGAGACAGAAGCACTTCGGGGACACAACGGAAACGGAACGCGGTCAGGACAGAAATGCACCGTTTGGCGCGACACAGACCCACATAACTGGTTCACTACCGCTGTTCTGGGCTCAAAAAAGCAGCAGAAAAACAAGGAAAAAAGAAAAAAAGAGCGCCCGCAGACCAGCACGGTGGGGCTCTGCTGTTCTGCAGAGGAGCCCGCTCAGCGGCGGGCCCGCTTGGAGGCGGCGGGCGACGGGCAATAGGCGCTGTGTGATACCTCTTCTATTCGGATGCAGCTGACTAGCATGCACAGAACTCTGGAGGGCTGCACGCGCAGAAGGTGAGTTTGGCCCTGAAAGCAGGAAATAGAAGGTGCAGCAGTGCGGCGCGGTCTGTCTCGAACGTTAAGCGCCGATTAGGTTGGATGATTGACTAATTACGTTTGAATTAAGTAGTTATAAAGGTATTAAAGCCATATAAGGTTTAGAGTTTCTACTTTTTGGAATTTTGGTTTGAGTAAACCTTAAATGTAAACTCCCAGAATCATACACAAAATTAAGAATCTTAACAAAATCAAAAACAATTTTAAATCAAATAGAAAAAGTGGATGACTTAGCCTGTTATAGTCATAGCTTTTTATTGATTTTTTTCTGTTTTTTTTTTAATTTAATGTTTTTTTATGTTTCTTATGTTTTTTTCTTTGGATGATTTTCTTTTTTTATAACTCCCTGAGAATTTTAAATTCAATTCCTATTTTAAAATTGAATTTCCTCAAATTCTTGAGCAAAATTTTATCAATTGCAATAAATCAAATATATATAAATGGTCTTTATCTTCTCTTTTTTTTCTAAAAGAATTTTTCTTACTTCTTAAAAATTTTTAATATCTTATTTCAACTCAATCAGCTTATCAATTACACTTCATCCCACTGTTATTACTTTATACGTTTTTTTTGATCATAGTAACCACTTATAGATCACTTCCAATTCTATTAGTTTTATTACCTATTTCTCATATATAATGTATTCAATAATACAAAATCAAGACCACAATCAAATTCAGTGTCAATTACAATCTCAACCAAGAATCATTCATTCCACTGGTATCTTAACACCTCAAATGAATCATACCCAATTAGCTACCACTAGTACTCCTTCTAATCAATTACCTTCCTCCTCTTCTACCACTACTTCTAATTCGTCTCCAATGATTAGAAACTCAAAGTTATCTTTTGCTAAATCCGAATCCTCAATTCCTTCACCACCATTATCTCCATACCAAAAACATGTAGATTTAGTCAAAAGTAATAATATAATTGATTCAGGTTTAAACCTCAAAAATTCTTTACTCAATTTAAGAAATCCAACCTCAGTAAATAAATTCAAAATTACCAAACCAACCCAAAAGAAAATTGCAAGCAATAGTAGCAATAATAACAAATTTATCAATAGCAATAGTATTAAAAATATCAGTAAAAAACTCGAGTTGGTAGAAAACTCAATTGATTATCAACATCTATACCTAACCAAAGAAGAATTTAAAATCAAAAATTTCAACAACTATTCTCTTCAAGTCAATTGTTGGAATAATATCAATTTTTCAAATTCTTACAGACAAAACTGTTTAGCCTTTTTAAATAAATACACTCAATTACAAAAAAGAGAAATTCAATCAAAGAAATCCAATTCCAATTTAAATTCAAGAAAATCAAATCAATCAAATTCTAGAAAAAGACAATCCACTAATAATCATCATAACTCCTCTTCTAACAATTCTACCAACAATTCCTTGAATATTGATTACAACAGTGATGCTTCAATAAGTTCATCTAAAAATTCAGCAAATCCAAATGATAGAGTTCGTACCAGAAGAGTCGTTAGACAAACTCCCTCCTACACTTTGGAAGATTTTAGTTCTCCAATTTCATCACCTCAAAAGAAGAGAAAGGCTAATCCAGTTAATAGACCTGAACATAAACAAATCGTTATTGATTGGGAATCCGTACCTGACTTTTGTCCTTCCTTATCTACATTACCAAATAATTCAAAATGTCTTAAAACTGAATGGAAAGGACAGCCAATGAATATTGATAACGATCCTTTAATCAACAAGTTACATCCAGCAGAGGTTGTCCTAGCTTCTATATTAAGATTGCCTTGCAATCTTTATTTAGATTCTAAAAGAAGATTATTTGCCGAAAAGGTTTGCAGATTGAAAAAGGGATTATTATTCAGAAGAACTGATGCTCAAAAAGCATGTAGAATTGATGTCAACAAAGCCAGTAGATTATTTGCTGCTTATGAGAAAATAGGTTGGTTAGAAGATTCCAATTTCAAACAATATTTATAAAATTTCTAATCAATCAAACAACAAATAACTCTCATCATTACCATCTGTTAATTACCAATATTAATCACTATTTTCATCATCATTTCAACTATCATTGTTATTATATTATCTACTATAGATTTTAATAATCCTTTTTCATCATTTACAATTGTCATCATTTTTACCTTTTACATTATCCTATGTTTTTATCATCAGTGTACACTTTAACTTCTGTCTGTTAACAAGTTTTAATTACTAATTACTACAATTAAATTTTTTTTATTCTACTGTCTTTTTGTTATTTTATTTTGATTATTAATCATTTTATGGTCATTGGGTTTGGTTTTAATCTTAATTTTACTTTTAATTTTAAAAATATCTTATTTATTTATATTTATATTTATATATATATTCTTTTATTGTCTAGTGTGTTTTTGTGTGTTTTGTGTTAATGTTTTTACTTCAATTTACTTTTACTGTTTTGTGAAATATCTCTTTTTAATTTCTTTCCTTTTTTTCTTTTCCCTTTTTACAATTATAATCGATTTGGTTTTAAGATTATGGAAAACAGCAAAAGACAAAAATAAAAGAACAAAAAAGAACGTGCAAAGAAAAGGATAAAAGCAATGGAATTATGTGACGAATTTTTGATTTAAACTGTTGTTTTTTCCTTCAATTTGCTGTATTTCTTTTTACTTGCTTTTCTTTATTGTTTTAATCTTGCTGGTTTTCTGTTCCTTTTTAATTTTGTATCATTACTTTCCTCTTCACTTTCATTCTTTTCTATTAACCTGTGTTTATTTATAATTGCATTTTTATCTTTAATATATACCCACATTACAATTACTATTATAACTACTATTTGAGCTGCTACTATTTGAACTGTCATTGAATTGCAATTACAATTACAATCAGCAGTACAATTACAAGTACAATTTACGATTTGAAACGCAGTAAACCTAGTAGAAGATACAAAGCTGGAGGAAATAAGGATAAACCCACAAGAGCTTGATGGAAATGAGACTTCTCATGATCTCTCATGGAACTATCCCATAGTCTATTTCCATAGTCTGTCTCATGAAACTGCTCTTCCTTCTTTACAGCCTTTGCCTGTTTTGACGAAATGTACACAGAAACCAGCGAGAATATCCCAGACCTGCTCTACTCGGATTCGAAACTGGTCTATTTTCGTCGGCCTCAATTGACGATTCTCAGCTCTTGGCGCTGAACTCTTTTTGGCCCAATTTACGAGGAAGGAGTCCCTATAGCACGGGTGAGTGCTTGAGGGATACTGTCCCGCTGTAAGAGGTTCCGGTTTGCTGGCTAAATTCCGCTTAGTGCGTGAAGACACGCGAAAACGGGACTGTGATACAAAGACTGGGTATTAAATGCTGGATATTTGAATGCTCTGAATGTAGTTTGGAGATTGTGGACAATAGACTGGAACTGTCGATTGATCGCTGATATGTTGATATGTTCGTAACCTACTGGCAAGTAGCAAGAGGGAGTAAGGAAAGCTAGTCTGGAAGGCCTACACTGGGTCTGCTGGACACTGATTAGGTTTGAGGAAACACTCTTATTCAAATAACTGTATTCCCACTCTATTCCCATTTCTGTTTTTTATTCAATTATCCTATGTGAAGACTACTTTTTATGGGTTTTAATTTGAGTTTTCTTACCTCTTATTTGAAATTGTTTGGAATTGTTTGAATTTCTTTTCTTTTTCTTCATTTTTCCTCGTTTTTTTTCATTCTTTTGTTTTTCCATTCTCTTTCTTTGTTTTTGTTTAAATCATTCAACTCAATTGAATTAATTGCTTTTTGAAAGACACCAAATAGTTGAAACAAATTTATGTTCATTGATCGTGTCTTTCTGCCTTTCTGTTGTTTTAATCAATGCAATTGCACTTGAAAATCATCTAATATGATCATGTTTTATCCTTTTGTCAATTTCTAACAGAATTGAACTATTTTTATAACTGTCATTTAGTACCATTGATCTGTATTATATAATTAAATATTTTTTGTTTTACAGAGGAATAATAAATAGTAAATAAATAAAGAAATTAGTGAAAACAAAATACAATTCAGGATTAAAAATAAAAATAATTTATGTTGATATGATATAACACAAATGCGATTTACTTTTATTAGCAGTATTATATTTTTAATTCCAATTATACTGTAATCCTATACATTGTTTGTTGCGATAATAAATCCATAAAAAAAGAAAAATAATAGACTATCAGCCTTCAATCAATTCAAGTTCAGTAGCAGTACACATAACTTAATAAAAGTGAATAATTTCAATTTTAATTTTAATCTTACTTTTATTTTCACTTTTTACATTTTATCCAGAGAAAAATTTTTGTGTTTTTAAAAACAAACAGAGAATTTAATCATTAAACAGTGATGATTAATTGTACAACAAAAATGAATAAAATGCCACAGATTAAGCAATTAAACTGAGATCAATTAAGATGATGCAAAAAAAAATGATTACAATCATCATAATGATCAAAATTCAATTCAAATCAACTAATCTCGATTATCCTCAATTCATCTCAAGCTGGATGGATTGAGATAAATTAATTTGATCTATTAGTATTTATTGAGTTTAGCAAAAAAAAAGGAAAAAAACTTTTGATAAATTTGAATATTCCAGTATTCCAATACTCCAATTATCTGAATATGAATATCCTCCGGAATCCAATTCTTTTTTTTCTCTTTTTTTCTCATTAAATTTTAAATTTCTAACAAATTTTATAAAAAAAACAATTGATCTTCGATATACATTATGATTTTGAACGAATTATCATCAAGATAATCTTTTAATGTGTTAAGAGCAAAACGGGTTTCCTTACTACAAACTAAAAAGAAAAGGAAAAAAAAAATGCTCGCTAATAGTGATAGCAATTTTCATTTTCAAGTAATGGCCAAACTATTTTGTTATTAGGCACTAATATATAAAAAAATAATAGAAAAAAAAACACCTTTGCACTTTTATTTGCTGAAAACTTGTTTAAACAAGTTTGAACAAGTTTGAACAAGTTTGAACAAGTTTGAACAGGTATTAACAATTTTGAACTGATTTGAAGTCTGAACAGGTTTAAACAGGTTTGAACAGGTTTGGTTATATGTTTCAAGCATAACTAAACAGAATTATCTCAAATATTTTCTTCAAACCACTTTCTTAAAACAATAAAATGTAATATTAAATAACCCAGTCCTATTTTACAATAATTTTGTTTTTCTGGATATTCTTTTGCAATTCTTGCAATTCTTATTTGATTGTTGATTATTTAAAATTATTTATATTTGTCCTATTTGTAATAAATAATAATAATCTGCTTCTTGATGGTTTATTATCATTCAAAAACATTTCAAGTCTGGCAGCTTTGCTGTAGATCATGGATTTTGATGAATATGATGATGAGTTTAAAATAATTATTATATATTATCGTAATTTGAATGTTTGAAACGTTCAAACACTGAGAATTATGTAATCACTTTGTTGTTTCAAACATCAATCTTCAATCAATCACATCAAAAAACATTTACATCTGTTTAATTGTTAACCAAAATTTAGTGAATTTTTAATTAAATTATAAATTCAACTTAGCCTCTCGACTAATACAGTTTCAAATGCAAAATTTGGTTTTGATCTGGATTAAGATAATTGCAAAAATTATTTGAATCATGGTCTACCTACGTCATTTTCATTTATCTTTTAACTTCAAAAAGAATCTTTAACTGAAAAAAACAAATTAAAATAATTAAGAGTAATGGATCCTTTGACGGCTTTCCAGTTAATAAGAGGTCTGTTTTAATGGGCTTTTAGTTTATTTTCTCCTTTTTTACATAATTATTGTGTAAAAGTGATCAATCGTTTTTTTAGATTTTTCCATGTTTTTTTTTTACTTGTTTTGTTTTCTTAAAATGTTTTTTTCTAATTTAATTTAATTTAATTTAATTTAGGGTAAAATTAATTGGTTGATCTAATTGACTAGACACTTCGTAGATACCAATTTAAAATTTGGGATCCTTATTCGTAATTTAAACAATATTCCAGATTTCTGATTCAACGACCTTGATTTCATTACTAATTTGAATTTTCCATCTTATGCTAATGTTGCTTGAACACAATAGGGATCAAATCATATTCCAGACTCTGGAACCTGAAAACTTTTCTCACATATAGATTAAATTCTACTCTTCCCAATTCTAATTCAATTCAAAAAAATTGTTTCATTCATTTATATTTATTCTTTTCATCTACAGAGACCTGAATTATGATCCCATTAGAATTGCCAATTTGGAAGACCACATTTCATAATTGGTAAACTCCATTGAATAATCGGCAATTCTTATAAAATAATGAACATAAAAACAAAATTTCTACAAAAAAAGAATAGATTCGAACAAGACTTCACACGAATATAAATGATCAGGAACCGATTATTATTAGTAAATAAATCAACTATTTTTTTTTATTTTTTAATTCAAAACCAGATCACTCGACCTGAGAAAATATGGTCTTAGAGACTGAGTTGGATTATGTCGTTTTCCTGCCGATTTTTTCTCGCGTGAACAGTTTCGACCAATCGAAACACGACGTGTATTTCTCGATACGGAATATAACATGATAAGAGCCACAAACCCAAAACAGAAGCAACCCAGGGAGGCGGCGACAGGAATGCACGTGCAAAATTTTTTAAAGTGAAAAATTTATGGTGCAGATCAGGGAATGGAGAAAGGGCTGGAGGTTAGAGCATTGCACAGAGATACAGAGGACAATGTCGACGAGAAAGTGGGTGGATAAGAAAACTGCAAAGACTTTTGCTGTGGTTCACAGGTCCCATGAGGACCCCGAGTATTTTAACGACGAGGCTCCACCAAACGTGCTTGTTGAGGTGAAGAAGTACTCGACAAAATCTATTCCAAGATCAAAAATAAAAACTCAGAAGGATTTGGAAGGTGAATTGAAACATGACATAGAGAGTGGAAAGATAAGAAGCAACGAAGGACAGGCTGCGTTGTTTGGTATAACCTACGACGACTCGAAGTACGATTACATGCAGCATTTGAAACCAATTGGTGGTACTTCTGACAATCTCAATAATGTTGATCCAGACATAGAGGAAACTCAATCTTATTTCATTCCTTCAAAGAAGAAAAATAACAGTACTGAAAACTCCAATAAGAAAAAGAAAACCAGTCTCACTTTTAAAGAGGATCTACAACTACCGAAAGAATTATTTGCTTCAGAGAAAACAGTCAAATTATCTTATCAAGCCTTTCAAAATGTTCCTGACGATATTAAAGGTTTCAAACCGGATATGAATCCCGATTTGAGGGAAGTATTGGAGGCTTTGACCGATGAAGAATTTATAGATGAAAAAGACGATGATCTATTTAACGACTTATTGAAATCTGGTCAAAAAGACAACTCTGAAGATGATTATAATGATTATGACGATTATGATTACGATGATTATGATGACTTAAACTATGATGACTATGATTCCGACCGTTTCAAAAAAAAAGACGATCAAGGCTGGGAAGCAGATTTTAGAAAATATAAACAGTTTGAAGACAAAAAACCGAAAAATAATTGGGACTCTGATGATGATTTTAATTCAGAAGATGATGAATTGGGCGAGACTGATTTCAATTCAACTGCTATGAAGTTAGAAAAAGCTAAACAATTAGCTCAACCAAATAATACAAGTCTGATAAGCCAAAATCTAAAGTCGATTGATCATGACGAGAATGACAAAATTAATGACTTACCTGATATAAGTAATCTTAACTTGAAGTCAAATCAAAATCAAAAAAAATCAAAGAAAAACAAAGAAAGAAGAAAGAAAGGCGCAATGACTGATACTTCTACTTTCTCAATGTCCTCATCCGCATTATTTAGAACTGATGGTTTAACTTTATTGGATGAGAGATTTGAAAAAGTATCAAGGGATTATGAAGAAGAAGACGAAGATGATTACAAGCCATTTGATATGTCAAAGCAAACTCCAGGATTCGAAGATATGTTGGTAGATTTTCTTGATAATTATGAAATTGAAGGTAAAAAATTAGTTAAAAAAGATGATGATATTGAAAAATATAGAAATGCTGCTAAATTAGTTAGTAGAAGTCAAAAGAAAAAAAACAATCGATTAAAAACCTTTGAATATTAAAAATAATTATATTTATTTCCTTTATAGTGTAATATAAATTACAATTATCAATATCAATTATCAATATAATATAACATAAAAAAAAATAATAAAAATAAAATAATTACACAAAAGTAATCAAAAATAATTAAAAATAATTAAGAATGTAATTCAAATTCAAATTCAAATTCAAATTCAAATTAAAAAATAGTGAAAATAATGAAAATAATAACTGATCTATGGTTTACATCTACCGGTAAATCTAGGATAAAGAGAACAATCTCTAACGGTGAATCTGTTACATAACCAAGCTAAAATTCTTTCAGTACCTAAACCATAACCACCATGAGGGCTAGTACCGTATTTTCTTTGATCAATAAACCAATAGTAAGCTTCAGGACTAATTTTTTCTCTTTTGAAACCTGCTAATAATTCTTCAACAGAATCAATTCTCATAGAACCACCAGTAATTTCACCAACAGTCGGCATCAAGACGTCAACAGATTCAGTGACTCTGGGATCATCACTGCATTTTTTCATGTAAAATGATTTAATTTCAACTGGGAATCTTGTTAATAAAATTGGAACACCAATTGTATCTGTCATTTTTCTTTCAGCTGCTTCAGCGATATCATCACCAAATTTGAAATCTTCACCATCTTCGTTAAGAATTCCATTTTCATTAAGCCATTTAATAGCATCTTTATACTCCAATCTTTTAAATGGTAATTGAGGAGCAACAAAGCTTGGGTTTAATTGTTTAACTAAAGGACCAGCAATTGGGTCTTTTAAGACATAGTCAATTGATTTTACAATTAAGGTTTCAATATGAGATAATAAATCATTAAAGTCTAAGAAACATAATTCAGCTTCGATATGAGTATATTCACTGAGATGTCTTCTTGTATGAGATTTTTCAGCTCTAAAAGATTCCTGGATACAATAAACATCACCTAAAGCAGGTAAACAAGTTTCCAAATATAATTGAGAAGATTGAGTCAAGTAAGCATCTTCACCATAGTATTTCAAGGAGAACAAAGTTGAACCACCTTCGACTTGAGTTTGAACCATACATGGAGGTGTTACTTCGGTAAGACCTTCTTCAACGTAAACGGTTCTAATCGCTTTCAAAAAAGCAGCTCTAACTTTCATGACAGCACTAAGAGTTTCACCTCTTAACATCAAATGACGTTGATCTAATAGTAAGGAAGCATCAGCATTTTCTTGGACTTTGTTTGTAATTGAGTCATCGCCAGCTGGAGCTAATCCATAGACTTGATAAAAATCGGCTAATAATTCAACACCACCTGGAGCAGTTTTGCCTTCAGGCAATTTTTCAATTGTACCACTAATTGAGATTGTTGATTCAAGAGTTAATTGGGAAGTTTGATAGGCATTGGCTAAATCACCCTTAAGCAAACATTGAATGTAACCAGTACCATCTCTTAAGACAATAAAAGCTCTGTTTTTTTGTACACGTAATCTATGAATCCAACCGTTAAGTTGAACTCTTTTGTCAATATCCTTTGATACGTCTCTAATTTTAATTTTATGAGCTTTAGGTAAGGATTTGTCTTCTGTTATTGTGATATTCATTGATTCAAGAGACTTTGCTAATTCATCAGCTTCTTTTTTTTTCTTCTGTTCTTCAATTTGTTTTTGTTTTAACTGTTTTTTCTTAAGACCTTCAGCACCTTTTTTGGCCTTCTTGAGAGCACTTGGAGAAATTTCAGCAAACTCGGAGTCTTTTAAAATGTACAATTTGGCAAAAGACTCATCATTGAAGATGGCAAAAGCAGGAGTCTTGAATGGTTTGAGTTGAGATCCATCAGCCTTTGAAAGATCATCAACACCAGCATCGCTGATATAGTATGAGGACATTGTGCAGGAATAAAACAACGATTAGAGTGGAGTTCAATAAGAGAGAGAGAAAGTAAAAGAGGATTGAGTTTGCAAGAGAAAAAAACAATAGATGCGATTGCAACAGTGAAAGGACAATTGACTATTATATATTCGATATAGAAGACGTAATCAATATCTCACCATCAAAACAGTTCCCAGCTAAAAATAACAAGTTTCTAATCAAAAGATGAGTAATTTTTCACACTTTTCCATCCCACTAAAATGGAAGCCGGACCCAATGAAGCATATCCGGATAGGACCACGGTGATTCAAACCGCACCATCCGCACACATACATTTTGTAAGCAAACAGCGCGCGTCTGCTTGCATCCGATCCACGGAGAGACCGATGAGAGATAACGGACGACTCCTGCAACGGATGCGCGGAATGCTCTTTCATAAAATTTTTCATTTACTCACTGAAACAACTGGGGAATTATCTCAGATTGAAGAATATTGAGGAATTTGCTGATAAAAACTGTCTGAAAGAACCTCCAACGCCTTCTCCACTGCCTGTTCTTCTTCAAGTGATACTGCTCCACTGCTTTCTCGTTCTCCATGGCTCTTGAATCCTCTCTCGCTGCTCTCTCGTTGTTAGAGCCAATTCCTGCTGATGCGCAGTTGACCAAATCACTTGTCTTCAAAGATAAGAAAGGTAATTCTGTTGTCTTGTTGGCATTGTCTTCCACTAAAACAGACTCCAAAATCATCTCCAAGGCTGTCAAATTAAAGGATGTTCGTTTGGCCAACGAGGACTTTGTCTCCAAATCTTTTAACATTTCAACAAAAGAATTTTCAATCGCCAATTTGGCCTCAATTGAAGCTGCAACTAAAGAAAAGCTTAAAATTGTCATTGATTCCAACCTATCTAACTTGGACGATGCTTCTTCCTTAATTGTTCAGAACCAATCTACCAAATTGTTTATTTCAAAATCGGATTACATCGGTTATATCACCCAGTTGAATTTAGACTCAATTGTCGTTGATTTCAATGCTCCCAAGCCTCAGCAAGCTAAAGCTCAAGCTGCTAAATTAGAAGACGCCAAATTGATCGGTATAACTATTGATAAACACTTGGACTTTCCAGGTTGGTATTCCCAAGTCTTGACAAAGGGTGAAATGCTAGAATATTATGATGTCTCGGGTTGTTATATCATGAGACCTGCTTCCTATTCCATTTGGGAAACTATTCAAGATTACTTTAATGTTAGAATTAAAAAATTGGGTGTTAAGAATACTTATTTTCCAATGTTTGTTTCTTCAAGAGTCTTGGAAAAGGAAAAAGATCATATTGAAGGTTTTGCCCCCGAAGTTGCCTGGGTGACCAGAGCTGGTTCATCCGAACTAGAAGAGCCAATTGCTATCAGACCAACTTCAGAGACTGTCATGTATCCTTATTATGCCAAATGGATCAGATCTTATAGAGATTTGCCACTAAAACTAAATCAATGGAATTCTGTTGTTAGATGGGAATTCAAACATCCTCAACCCTTTTTAAGAACGAGAGAGTTTTTATGGCAAGAAGGTCATACTGCTCATTTAACATTTGATAGCGCAAATGAAGAAGTTTTAACTATTTTAGACTATTATGCAGGTATTTATGAAGAATTATTAGCTGTTCCTGTTATTAAAGGTAAAAAAACTGAAAAGGAAAAATTTGCCGGTGGTCTATTTACGACCACTTGTGAAAGTTTTATTCCTGCAACTGGTAGAGGTATACAAGGTGCCACTTCTCATTGTCTTGGCCAGAATTTCTCTAAAATGTTTGGAATTCAAGTTGAAGACCCTTCAGGTTCTGATAAGCCAAAATTATATGTCTGGCAAAATTCTTGGGGTCTTTCAACCAGAGTTATCGGTGTCATGGTCATGATCCATTCCGATAATAAAGGTTTGGTCTTACCTCCAAGAGTAGCTTCAACCCAAGTTGTTATTATCCCAGTGGGTATAACTTCAAAGACCACCAAAGAAGAAGAAAATGCAATTTTGGATGGTGCTAAAAAAATTGAATCCGAATTATTAAAAGCTGGTATTTTAGCTACTGGTGATTACCGTGATAACTATTCGCCTGGTTGGAAATTCTCGAATTGGGAATTAAAGGGTGTTCCAATAAGATTAGAATTCGGTCCAAAAGATCTTAAAAAAAATTCTGTCGTTGCAGTTAGAAGAGATACTTCAGCTAAATCCTTCATCAATATTGATGATTTAGAAACCAAAATTCCAGATCTTTTAAACACAATTCAACAAGATTTATATGACAGAGCTAAAGCTAAATTCGATTCTCACAGAATTATTTGCGACAAATGGGATGATTTCATTAAAGCCTTAGAGAGTCAAAATCTTATCTTAGCACCATGGTGCGGTGTTATGGAATGTGAAGAAGATATCAAAGATTCTTCTGCTAGAAAATCTGAAGAAGATGAAGGTGTTGAACATGATGACAAGGCTCCAAGTATGGGTGCCAAATCTCTTTGTATTCCATTTGATCAACCTGAATTAAAAGAAGGTCAAAAATGTGTTAGATGTGGCAAATTGGCTGTTAATTATACCATGTTTGGTCGTAGTTATTAAGCCTTTCTATATTATCTTGTTTTTTATTTTTATTTTTATTTTTATTTTTATTTTTATTTTTATTTTTATTTTTTTTTTTTATCAGTATTTATAATTTATAGTATATATACTACCTTCACAATGTTCACATTTTCTTCTTACTCAAATTTATGTTTTTTCTGATGATTTTCTTTTCTTTTTTTGCATACATTAATAAATTTTATAATTTTAGGCAAAGAAATAAACAAAGAACTATCATTATTTCCACAAATACAAAACAGTTATATCTGTTTCCGCAAAAAATTGCCTTTTAACCTCAGATAAAAACAACAGGAACGTTTCATTTACTAAATGGAATTCATTTAAGAGTGCAAAAATTTATGATATAAACTTAAGAAACACTGACAAAACTCTTCAACTAGCTCATTTTCTTCAATTCCAGCTATTCTCAAGCTATTCAACTTCCTTGAGGCTATTTCTTTTCTATTTCCAGAGTTATATTCATTTGTTAAGGATATTTCATTCATGATTTTAAAAATGATAAGTAAATGAACTTGTAACTGAGGTAATTTCAAATAATATTGAATTTTTTCGTCTTGCAAGATTTTTTGATAAACCGATTTATTGTTTGATATCTTTTCACAATTTTCCAAATACAATTGATCACTAGAGTTAATAGGACCATCAACTTTTTGCAACTCTTTTTTTATTTGGTTTCCACCAACTTTACTGTCTTCCAGATGAGTGTGGGCAGTGGATTTATAACACGCCAATGAGCAATATTCTATTTGACACTTTGGACATTTGTATTTTGAAATTTCTTTCGTACATATTTCGCACTTTGACTTGAAAATCATTCTAGATAATTATCTGTTGCTGTGTTTTATTGAGTATCTTCTATTTTATCCTATTTTATTTTCTATATTTTTATATTTTTTTTCTCCAACTTGATCAATTTTCAAAATAAGGTTGGATTAGTCAGCTAAGTAGTGCATATATACGGATAATGCATAGTATAGCATATATACAAGTTTTGTATATTTTCTTTTTTTGATTGTGTTCCACAGCAAAAACTCCATTTGCAAAGAGAAGCTGGAGCAAATATCAAAAATGTTGAAAGCAAATATCAAAAATATTAAGACCAAAATAAAAGACAACACAGAACTGGAAAACCCACAAGCAACCAATTCTTTAAAACAGTATAAATAGGGTTTATTAATTCACTACATATAATATTTCTTGTTGCCCAACATACTTCTTACTTCTCATTTACTATATTTTTTTTGGTCAGACACTAGCCTTTCTTATATTAAAATAAATCTATAAATATCATTAAGAAAAACAGACATAAGAACCAGAGTTTATTCAATTCTAAGCTTTATTATTAGTGCTGAAGTATTGATTTTTGTGTTAATTCATGAATATACGAACTTTAACTTCAAATCCAATCACCCCAAACACCCCGATCACTTTAATTCCTTCAATCAATTTTTAAATAAAAATTTACAGTAAATTTCAACTTTCATATTCCCATAACTAAAGAAATGGACTTCTAATTCGTTGGTTTTAATACTCCTAACTTTTCTCATATCCATCTCAATTCTGATTGTAGGTTTGAAATATATTGTTTTCAAAAAAAGACAGATCACAATCCAAAATGTTTTTGATATTAATGACACAATTGAAGATACTCAGGTATTGACTCAGACTGATGTAAAAAATGAAATCCAAAAACTATTGTTTAAATGGTGCAGCATCCCAAAAGGTTATCCAGAACAAAAAAAATTAGAGGAATCGGTAAATAAAATATCATCGACTTTTTTTGGGGTTCCACTATTGGCTATCATTGTACAGGAATCGTTGAAAAAGTATTTGGAAACAAATAATAGTACTTTTCCAATAATTAAACTGTCTAAATCAAGTAAACATTCAATTAATATTACCGGGGCAACCATTGATATAAAATTGTTTTGTGCTGAAGAATACAGTGTTGATCTTAAAGAAAATCTTTCTAGGTCTGTTGATTTTAAAGGAGAACTGGATTTAAATAATATTAATCTTGAATCCTTATGTAAAGTATTTTATTTAAGAAAATCTAGATTAAGGTACAATACTGAGGAATATTTCAAGAAAATAGCTCGCCAGTTGCATCATGAAAATGTTTTGTATAAGTCTTGGTCCCCATTTATGAGCCAATATAGCAATTACTTTGAATACCAATTCTCAGAAATACAAAAGAATATTATAGAAATTCAAAATGCAATAACTCACACAGTTGACCATAATGATGGAGAGTTTCATTTTGAAATGATTTTAAAAATGTATAATGATACATATAGAAAAATCAAAAATGATTATACATTATACACTGTTGAAGAGTTGTTCCATGTCCACAAGTTATTAGGTGGTTATAGTTATATATATTTTTTTGCTCCTTATATAAAGGCAGTTGAGTTACTCACACTAGAACCCACCATAAAACTCACAAAATTTAAAAGTTCCATCAATAATCTTCTGAAATTAATCACTAAAGATCAAAAAAAGCGTCTTTTAGAGATCGGATTTCGTTATTCAGAAGGAAAATTTAACTTCCATAGTGGTGCAAATTTTAGGCTATCAGATCTTTTAGGTTGGTAAGATTTGTGTGCAACATTGAATGAGTATGTATTATTCCTTTTAATTCTTAGCCATTCTATAGTTTGTCTATATATCTTTAAAAGATAATTTAATAAATAACATCGAATATCTGTGTTTTGCCAATTTGCAACAATTTATTGTGTGAAAAGAATTTGAATATTATTGTGGTTGAAATATTGTCACCAGTAGCAATTGTAGTAATTTTTTCCAGAAGATAACCAATTTATTTTCCAAGTTAAAATGGTCACTTCTACTCCCGTTGTGGTTATTTTCAATTCATTTAATTCCAATTTACTGATATTAAATAAACTACAATTAAAATATTCTTCAGAGAATAGATTAAGGATTTACTTTATAACTGCTAGAATAACCACAAGCCAGTGGGATTCCAAATTGACTTTGAGTAATATAAGTGTCATTTTGTTTAATTTCAGTTTTTGAGAAAGTGTCAAATCTTTCTAGAAATTTGATTCAATTAATCTCTGAAAATCTGAGCATCTTCTAAATTTAATATTCAGAGAGTTTGGAGTTCTCTTTTTCATACAACCCTTGTTATGAATCAATGGGGATCTCTAAAATAGATTCTTTCCCAAATTTTGCAGGCATATTCTTTAATGAAATCTGATATCTCAAACATTATAAACTCAATAAAACCAATCAAACAGATTTTGTTTTGAAGATATGTGCTTTTGTTTTATATCTTAAAATCAATGTAGTTATTTTTGGTTTAAATACATATCAACTTTAATTGTTTAACCACAACGGTTTTAAAAAAACTTAAAATTTGTCAATGAAACTCTCATGAATAAAGATTTTAGAGCTTTAAATCCTATGAAACCATGAGATCCTTATCACAGAATGAAAAAAATGTACAAAACATCTTTGAATTAAATAATGCTGATTTTCAGTTACCTATAGCTTGAGCAATGAGTGGACAGTGCTTTGAGGGCAATTTTCTCTGCTCTGTGCAATTGAAAAGTCATTGTATAGAAGCATCTCTATCTCACCAGCAATTCAGCATGCTATCCATAGCTCAGAACAAACAACAAAGAGTTGCACATAACTCAAAAGACTCAGAAAATGAGCAAAAACTACCAGAAATTTCTCTCCGGTCACGACTTCGAAACCGGAAAACGATACGTACACCGCAACTTCTGTCGTCTTCGAATGAAAAATCGCATCGCAAACAAAAAATCTTTGAGCTGTGTTTTGAAGAAAGCAGTCGATTTGCCTCTGGAAAGTGCTTCTCTCTTTGTTGCCTCTGTTTCCTTCTTTATAAACCTGAAAGGAACCTCTCTCATATCCAACAGCGATGAAGTTTTCAAATACTAATTCAATTAGTCCTCCCTCTGTCAACCAAACAATCTACAAAGATGATTGCACGTATTGCTTTCAAACTCCAGATTTGAAGGGTGGTTTAAACATTTGTCTCCATTGTTATAGATCTTTCTGTCCTTTGGATATTGGAGATGAATCCAATTCAAACCATGCTGCTTTGCATAATGCTCTAACTGGCCATAATTTATTTTTGAACTATACCGAGGTTTTTAAAAGAGACCAGATTGAATCAAATTCAAGTATAAACAAAGAGGAAAAAATTATTAAAATGGCTAAATTGGAAATTAAAGAAAAGAAAAAAACAGATCTCTTTAACTTTTATTATAACTTGCTTGATTTGGAAAATCAATCATCGATTGCATTAGATATCATTTTCAAAAACGATGTCCACTCTTTTAATTCATTTAATGGTTTGCCTCAGATTCTAATCGATACAGTCTTGGCTATATTAAACAGTAAGTCATCTTATTTAAACCAAGAAGTTGAATCATGGGAGCAAGAAATTAAAACTTGCAAACACTCCAGTTCAGAAATTGAGCAATTAAACATCAACAATCCCTCTATAAACTTGAAAAAGTGTGCATATTGCGATTTGAATGAAAATTTATGGTTATGTCTTTATTGTGGTTTTATTGGGTGTGGTAGACAACAATTTGGTGGATTAAAAGGTAATTCTCACGCTTTAAATCATTTCAATGAAACCAATCATCCAATTGCAATAAAACTAGGCTCTTTATCTTTAAAGGAAAACAAAGCTGATTGCTATTGTTATTCATGTAATGATGAAATCAAAGTTCCTGATTTATCAACATATCTTCTTAATTATGGTATCAACATTCAATCTTTGGATGATTTTAATATTAAAAAGGAAAAAACGTTAACTGAATTAAATATTGAACAAAATATAAAATGGAGTTTTAACATGACTTCAAATGATGGTCAATTGTTGAGACCATTATTTGGTGAATCTCTTACTGGTTTGAAAAATCTAGGTAATTCTTGTTATATCTCCTCAATAATTCAAGTTTTATTTGATTTGAAATGTTTCCAAGATTATTTCTATCAAAAGGATTTCCTAAATGTAAAGGATGCCATAAATGGCGATCAAGGATTAAATTTGCGAGTCCAGTTGATTAAAATTGCAAATGGTTTAATCTCTGGGAAATATTCTACACCAAATCTTGATACCCCTGATGATATAAAATTTCAAAGGGGAATTGCTTTAAATTCTTTTAAAAATTTAGTTGGGACACACAATAAGGATTTCAAATCAATGCAACAACAAGATGCTTTTGAATTTTTACTTTTTTTATTAGAAACAATAGAAAATTATTATTATTCAGATGACTTGGATTTAAATCCTACAAATGAAAATTTGATAGATAATTTCAAATTTGTATCTGAGTCCAAGTTGACTTGTTCAAACTGTCGTAAATACAAATTTATTAATGAGTTGACAAACTATTTATCTCTACCAATAAAGGATGAGTTGAAAGAAATAAGTAAAGAGAATAAAAAAATTTACAAAGACTATTCATTAATTGAGTCTTTAAACCAAGTTTTTTCAAACAAATCGCTTGATGTCGAGTTGAATTGTGAAAATTGTTTAAAGACGACATTTTTTAATAAGGAAGTAAAACTCAAGACGCTTCCAAATGTATTAGTTCTTAGTGCGCAAAGAGTTAAATTAGAGAATTGGGTTCCAATCAAAGTTGATGTTCCATTAATTTTACCAGAAGTTGTTAATTTAGGAAGCTATGTTTCGAAAATCGATGTATCGAAAGTTGATCCAAATGATTTATTGCCTACAAATGATGGAGAAGGAGATGTGGGTGATGAGTTTATTCCAAATGTTGAAGTTATGAATGCGTTGCTTAGTATGGGATTTCCAGAAAATCGATGTGTAAAGGCGTTGTACAATGTTGATAATTCAGGAAATCCAGACGATGCTATGAATTGGCTATTTGCTAATATGGATGATCCAAGTATTGATGAACCTGTTGTGATTAAGAAAAAGAGCAAGAATCAAGTAAAAGAGCCTAGTAGCGGCGATGTTTCATCACTTACGAATATGGGATTTGAAAAGAAAGTTGCAAGAAAGGCATTAATTTTGAATGAGTATAACATTGAACGAGCAGTGGATTGGTTATTCTCGAACCCAGAAGATGATGGGGTACTAGATGAAGTTTGCGATGGTGGTGGTAATAACAAATTGAAAAAGAGTACGAAACCGTCAATGAAAGAGGAAATTGAGGCTTTTGTTAAGGAGTTTAGTGAAGAGAAGAGTTCCGAGTATTATTTGAAGTCAGTTGTTTGTCATAAAGGAACATCAATTTATACTGGACATTATGTTTGCTTTGTTAGAAGAGAAATTGAGGGAAGAGAATCGTGGGTTTTATTTAACGATGAAAAGGTTGTTTTAGCGAACGATGAGAATAATTTGAGAGAGATCATGAACAATGGGTATTTATTTATATATGTTCGAAGAGAATGAATGTTAGTGAAAAGGAAAGAAAGAAAAGGAAAGAAAGAAATGAATAAAAGAATAAATAGGATAGATAAGTAAGAGTTAAGAAGAAGTGAAGGATGAAATAATTGTTTTAAAAAATATGGGCTTCAAAAGGGATAAAAGTTTTTCTTTATACATATACATATATATTATTGTAGTATTTTCTATGAATTGAGTGAATATATTTATAGTAATTGAATGAATATGTTTATAGTAAATGATTAATACTCCAAGTCTGCGAGTTTTGCCTTTTCTGTGTTGACTCTTTGTCTTCTTACTCTATTCCATAAAGTTACTTTATCATCTAGAATAAAGTCGAATAGGACTAGGGCCCAACTTTTGACCTTTGGTAAAGGCTCGTAGAATTCGTTTGCTATTTTGTTTAGTTCAAATAATTTTGACCAGGCAATGTAAGGAAAGTCGTGGTGTTCGTTATGCAAACCGACATTCCAGGCAAAGATATTAAGGATTCCGTAGTAGGAGTAAGTTTCTGGGGGCATTAAATCGTTTTTCTCAAAATGTTCAAAGTCGTAAAAACTTGGAGGTTGGAGAATATAATGTTCTGCAATGAAATGACCAGCCAAGGGTTGTAAAGAACCGGCTAAGAAGGAAGAGAAGATAAAGTATAGTAGAGAGTTTACGCCCCAGTATTTGAGCATAAGGAAATCGACAACAAGTTGGGAAATGAGGTTTAAGAGATGAATATAGGTGAAGGTTATGGATGTGATGCACATTGGTCTTAGAGCATAAAAGAATATTTGAAAGGTTGCGAAAAAGATCTTTCCCATGATGTTTGACAAGAAGATTGCTTCGAATCTTGTTGGAAGATCGGTGTCATATTTGTCGTCGCCCAAAAACTTGTGGTGCAATTGGTGGTATGGTTTGAAGGAAGCTGAGTAGGGGACACCTATGGGGAAGTTGGTGAAGATGGAGAATAGTTTGTTGTGCAATGGGGATTTGAAGCCTAGGTTGTGAGATAATTCGTGGATGGCCAAAAAGCAATTAGTGTTTGCAGTAGCACCAACAATGTAAGCTAAAAGGAAGAATTTCCAAGAAAAGAAAGAGGTGTTTCTCAAATAGTAGGCAATGGAAAATTGCAACGAAACCACACAGAAGACAATGTACTTTGTCAAGGGCTCAGGGCCCATTAGCTTTGATACCTGGGGATATTTTTTCAAGATTTGTTTTCTTCTTATGGCATGGGGCTCTTTGAAATTTGTCCAGTAGAAGTCGTTGAGATGCTTGATGTTGTCGGTGGTTGAAGGGTTTTCGACATGAATCTTCTGGTTGGATTCCTTGTGCAAGATTGTTGTCATTGTGAACAGAGGCCTGAGGTGGTGGAAAAAGAGAGGCAGAGAAGTTGCAAGAAGAGAAGAAGAAGAAGAAACAGCCAACGATACCAATACCCCAGAGCCTGTTCCACCCAACAATTCCTCTCTAAACGTCGACTGTTTTTATTCACGACGATTTTTCAGCCTTTTGGGATTTCCCAAACGGGCGAGCGAAACACCGCCGCAAGCCCCAACCAAAATGGAATCCCACACCCTCTCGAGAACGTCGGCGCATGCGCCACAGAGGCGGATTTCTGTGTGCTGATTGGCCCGTGCTCGTGGGGAGAAGGGGCGATTTGAGCGCTTCTTCTGCTGCTGCTTCTGCTTCTTCTGCTTCCAACTCCACGATGTCAGACCTCAGCACCTTGAACTTGGATTACAGATTTCCTCCCTTGAAACACGACCTTCTCCTCAGAGCTGCTCAGGGAGAGCCTGTCGAACGTCCCCCAGTGTGGATCATGCGCCAGGCTGGAAGATATCTCCCAGAGTACCACCAGGTCAAGGGCAACAGGAACTTCTTCGAGTGCTGCAGAGATGCTGAGATCGCCTCCACCATCACTATTCAACCTGTCAACCACTACGAGGGCCTTATTGATGCTGCTATCATCTTTAGTGACATCTTGGTGGTGCCGCAGGCCATGGGCATGAACGTGGTCATGATCGACGGCAAAGGCCCCCATTTCACTGATCCCTTGAGAAAGCCAGAGGACTTGCAAAAGCTCACCAAGAATGTCGACTTGATCCACTCCCTTGGCTGGGCCTTCAAGTCCATCAACTTGACCAGACACAAGCTCAATGGCAGAGTCCCTTTGTTAGGCTTTTCTGGTGGCCCCTGGACTCTTTTGGTTTACATGATAGAAGGTGGCGGCTCAAGGCTTTTCAGATTCGCCAAAGAGTGGATCTACAAATACCCCAAAGAGTCCCACCAGCTACTATCCAGAATCACTGACATCTTGATTGAATTTCTCGCTCTCCAGGTCAAAGCTGGCGCTCAGATGTTGCAGGTCTTTGAATCCTGGGCTGGTGAACTAGGTCCACACGAATTCAACGAATTCTCCTTACCTTACTTGAAGAGAATCACCCAGGAATTGCCCTCTCATTTGCAAAAACTTGGAATCAACCCTGCTGATATACCAGTCACCATTTTTGCTAAGAACAGTTGGTACGCTCTCAACGATTTGTGCAGCCTTGGTTTCAATTGCGTCTCCTTGGACTGGTCCTGGGACCCCCTAGAAGCTGTTAAACTCAACAACAATAGAGTTACTCTACAAGGCAACATCGATCCAGGTGTTATTTATGGAACAGACGAAATCATCTCCAAAAAAGTCGAAGCAATGATCAAAGGTTTTGGTGGTGGTAAAAAAAACTACATCATCAATTTTGGCCATGGAACTCATCCTTTTATGGATCCTGAAAAGATTCGTTTTTTTCTTCAAGAATGCCACAGAATAGGTAGTTTATAATTCTATTTGTCAATATTCCCTTTTGTAAATACTACACTAACCTACACTAAATATATCATCTGATAAATACTTTAAACAGGAATCGATAATTGATTCCTCTCAATAATACTGATGAGATCAAACCTTATTTTGACGCGTAACCCTGCTTAATTTTATACTGCAATATATTGAAATATACTAACCTATACTAAACTATACTGAAATATAAACTCTCTTTATCTGATCATCAGAAAGAAAACAAAAAAACAACTTATCATTACTTAAAATGTCTCTGCCTATTAATGAAACTGAATATCAGCATCGAAATATACATGACAGCAGCGACAACGATGCCAGTTCCGATAACGAACCTGACATGAACTTCAATGTAAATCTAAACAATTTTCAACTACCTAAAACCTATCCAATAAATCACCAAATCTTGAAAAAATTAAACGATTTAAACACTTTTGATTCAAACGACTTAACCCTCCTAAATGACCTAAAGGATTCAATTTATAATTCCAATATTAGCCATCTAATTGACTCTCTAAATCAATCATATGCCAATAATTCCAATAATTCCAATAATACCAATAATACCAATAATACCAACCCTAATAATAATGAAAACAATGAAAACAATGAAAACAATGAAATCATTCAACAATCAATAGACAATATCAAAAAATCAATCCTAATAAATGGTTACACAAAAATCTTTCAAAATACTATTCAAACTACTAAAGGTTCCCTACTAAAATTATCTAAAGATTCTAAAAATGATGATAATAACGAAAAAATCTCAGACGTTTTTAATCAAAATCTAGAAATGGAATTCAACCAATTCTCCTTATTAAACTTATTAAAAAATGATAAACAGTTTTTAAAACTATCCTCATATAAATTTGTAATCAATAATCCTTTAGATCCTCTACCAAAATTTAATTCTAACTTTGATGATATTGATTTAAACCAAGATATAAGTGACATTGACATTGATATCAATATAGATTCAGATTCAGATTCAGATTCAGATTTAGATTCAGATTCACACTCACATTCTGATTTAAATTTAAATACCCTCAAATCTTTATACAATTCAAATCGCCAAAAGAATAATAATGATGACGAGGAAGAAGAAGAAGAGATTCTAGAATCCGGCGGAAAAATTGATTTATTATGCCCAATTTCAAGAAAATTATTTGAAGATCCACTTAAATCAACAATATGTGGCCACACCTTCTCAAAGAAACCATTATATGAATATTTGGATAGCCAAAGACATGAAAGACTAATTCCTTGCGTTGTCTCAGGATGTTCATCAAACATAAATAGAAACAACCTAATCGATGACATTTTAATGGACCTACGTGTGAAAAGTTACTCCAGAAATAAAAATATCAATAGATCAAATCAAAAAGATCAGTTAGTCATTATATAATCATCATATATATATATATATATCTATATAAACAGTAAGCTGCCTGTTTCATTATTTACAAACTATTCGGGAACCTGAAGACCAACTCTGTTGGCTGTCTTTTGCACTTTCTCTTCTTGTGACATGGTTATTCCGGGGTTATATCTCTCAATCAATTCCTCATAAACTCTTTGGTTTTTGAGAAATATTGAAATGTTGTAAATCAACTTGTGTGCTGAGCCTTCTGAAAATTTAAAGTCTTCCAAATACCCTGAAAATTCCCCCTTTTCTTGAGCTATGTTTACTCTTCGTTTTCTGCTTGTCATTCTCTCACTAATTTCCTTGTATCTATTTAATTCATTGTCGATTTCTTGTTTATTTTTTCCTTCTCTAATGAGCTGTATTTTCTTATATTTCACCATGGCGTCCAATTTTCTATCGGTTTCCTTGATGTGGGCTTTGGCTGTTGTTCGGTGCAGTTTGCTTAATTCTCTGTAGAGGTTTCTATAAGCACCAACAATCGATTTACCAATATTTGAAGACATTTTTGCTGAAGTAAGGATATGGAAGATAAACAATTTCTCACGTCTCAGGATGAGTGCAGGTTCAAGGAAATAAAATAACTAAATCTGCTCAATGTTGAGAAACGCAGGGTAACTTGGAATTTTCTTCTAACAAAGATTGGTCTTGTCTCTAATTGGTCGGCGAAACAGGGTTATATTAGTTACTGTTTATCTCCAATATCGCTGATATCCTCAGTATCTTAGTTGGTGTCCTTTTGAGTGTCTAAAAGATCGAGGTTGGTGCAGCTGAAACTAGTTCCAATTCTAAATTTCATACCAAAAGCACAGAATTGGCCATTCAGTTGCTCACTATTATTAACTGGCTCAAATTTAGAAGATATAACTGGAAATGGCTAAAATGAATAAAACATAGGGAATCGTTGATAATAATTCCAAAATTAATATCATTTATAAATAATTCAAACAATCAGAATCTCAAAATTTTAAAATTTTAAAATTTTAAAACGCATTATACGAGTTAATAGTAAATTATGTTCTTTTTAAACACTTTCAAAAGATTAATTTCTTTGAAGAAATTATTCTTTTTTCGATGAAGATCAGTTTTCAGAAAAGTAAAGGTATAAGATTTATCTTAAAAAATTAAAAATATAAATAAAATTACTAATTTATTTAATCAGATTCAAAATACACACACAAAAAAAATAGAATACTTAGTTTTGGTATACAATCTTAAAAATTGATAAAAACTGTATACTGCTCTTTTGATCAACCTTTAACTTTTTTTTCATCAAATTCAGTCAAATAAAAAGAACATAACCTCTCGGTTCTTAATTGAGGATTGCATAACATAAATAATAATCTCATTTTAATAACTGCAGCATCTCCAGCATTTTGAAGAGAATGATTTAAATTCAAACCAATGTTTTTCCTAATTGTATCTAAGGTAACTTCTTCTTTATATTGTTTTAATGTTGTTGTCAATTTCCATAAGGTTCCAATATCAACAAAATGAATTTCTGGAGAGAATTGAAAACCCATTTTTTTTCTTAAACCAACTAATTTATTTTGAATTTGATCACTACACATTAAGATATTGTTTTTGCCAATGAGTTGAACCATTTTTGAGAGCATCTGTTTAAGATCGTCCCTTGAAACTCTTATGGTGTCTCCATAATGAAAATTAATTTGTTCTTCTTTAGTTATGTTGTTTTGAACAATAAAATTGATATCTAAAGAATCTGATGGATCATTATTAATTGGATCCCAAATAGATAATCCAAAGTTAAAGGATCCATGAAACTTGATTTCATCATAAGCAAATGTTATGACGATTTTTTCTTTTTTATTGACCCAATTGATAATATTTTTTAGTTCATTAAAATTAAATAAAGGATTAGATAATCCAGGAAAAAATAGCTGATTTGATTTATAAAAATTTTCAGTAAAATTTGATCTTAAATCAATCAATTCTAAAGATTTTTTTAAAAATTGCTTGTTTTTATTTGAATTGGTTTTTAAGAAATTAAAATATTGATGATGATTGGGTTTCCAATTTACGCATCCACATTGGCTTGTTTTTTTTAAGTATTTTGAAAAGAAATTCATAAAATCAAAACAATTGACTAATTTTAGATAGCAAAGATCTTGATGTGATTGAGAAACAAGTGTAATAGCACGTAGTCTAGAAACCATTTTTTATTAGTTTAAATTTAGTTGTTTTCAGTTATGTTTATTAAAATTTTCAATTAGTTGTCAAAGGTAAGGAAGTAAAAAGAAAATCAAAACAAAAAAAAAACTATAGAAAATTCAAGGCAACTTATATTATTAAAGATTGAAAAAGAGTGAAAAGATTGATTAATAGTTTAATTTTTTTTTGCTTTAAAAAATACTAAAAAGAGAAAGAATAAAACACAATGTTGAAAAAAAAATTTGTTTTCAAACAAAAACAGACAAATAAACCAAAATATTAACCAAAAGCCAATTAAGGAAAATGAATTATTCAATTAATTAACAGAATTAAAGAAAAAACAGTAAAAGTTAAAGAGCGCATAAAAATAATATATTTGTTTATAAATTAGTCTTCATTTCTTAAATCATGATGAAGTTTTTTATATCTTTCTAATTCTCTATAAGTTCTTTCCAATTCTATTTTTAATTTATCATTAGAAGAGCCCAATTCAGCGACGGCTTGATCTGTTAATAATTTTTCTAAGGTCCACTTTTCAACGTTATTAGTTTCGTTTTCTTTTAATCTGCGAATATAATCAACAGCTCTTTTTAATATTTGAGCTTTATTAGTTTCAGGGGTGGGTAATAAGGAGGCCAATTCTCTAATACCAGCGTTGATATTTTCTCTTCTTCTTCTTTCAACTTCTTTGTGGTTTTCTCTTCTAATTCTTTGCCATTCATCACTACCAGTTAGAGGTTTTTCAGTTGTTGTAGTAAGAATACGGGAATTTTTTGGAATATCGTTTTGATTATTTTGATTATTGTAAGAATGTTGAGTTAAAGCATTTATTTGTCTCTCTCTTTGAGCATCATTTTCAGCTTGAGCATATACTTGTAATTGTTGAGAGTAAGAAATGTTATTTAAGTCGTTATATGAATTATTTACGTTATTCATATCATTGATGTTGTTTATATTATTCATGCTATTTATGTTATTGATATTATTCATGTTGTTGATTGAATTATTAAAATTATTGTTGATTTTATTTTGATGATCATAATGCAGATTATTTTGGTTATCTTGAGCAGCTTGAGCAGCTTGAGCAGCATGAACAGCAGCTGCAACGGAGTCTGAAGGATCAGTATAATTGGGTTGTTGGGATAATAATTCTGAATCGATATTGTTCATATCATCAGAGACTGGGGGATTTGGGTTTTGATTATTGTTTTCTTGATTATTATTATCGTCGTTATTCTTGTTTTGGTTGGATTGGTTGATGTTGTTATTATTGTTTTCATTAATATTATTTTCTCCATTATCAGGATTATCAGGATTATTATTATTGTTATTGTTATTTTTATTATTATCATTATCATTATCATTATCATTATCATTATCATCTTTATCATTATCATCTTTATCATTATCATCTTTATCATTATCATCTTTATCATTTGTGTTTTGGTTATCCTTTTGGTTGATATTGTTGGAAGTAGGACTATTGTTTTCAGTCAATTCCTGGGAAGTATTGTGGCCATCATTTGAGACACCATTATCAAGAGTCCCATCGACCTGATCAGCATTCTTCAGAGCAGATTCAGGCGAAGAGGTCGAGTCCTTCAATCTTTTTGCTGGGTTCTCGTCTGATAATTCAGCAGATTCTCTTTTCAACGACATGACTTGATTCTAGGAGACGCCAAAAAACAGTTAGTAATGGGCATTTTGGGCAAGAACAGAGGGCTTCTTCTGGAGCATCTAGAGCAGACACACCACTTGTTCTCTGGGACTGTTTCTTCGAACTGTGTCCACCTCTTATCTCTTCTACCTCTGCTTATCAGCTCATCTCGTTGGGAAGCGAAAACGTGAAAGTCAGCATTATCCACTCCACCACCTGACAGACACCAGACAGAACTGGAGCTGAGCAGACAGTAAAAGAAACGCGAGAAACAAGAGGCAGCAGAGGGGGAACATACCTGCAACGTAGCTGGTGATACTCTTCAGCGGTTTTCCTAGTGTTGGAAGCTTTTGAGACGTGTTTGGAAGAAGCAAAATCTCTTTCTGCTTTTTCTCTTTCTCCAGCAAAATTCTCACTAGGGGTTGCGCGCCATCCCAAGGGAGGCGGGCTGTAGCAGAACCACAGGATGCTAAATAGCAGAGAATGCAACACGTGAGCTTACAGTGCATAGTCCGCACGTTCTATTGGCCAAGCCACGCTGCTGACTAATTTAGACAAAACGCGTGACCGGTATTCTCTTCAGGCCACACCGCAAAAGCCCTAAAAAAGTCCAAAGAGGAAATCGCAAGGCAGATATAAAAGAATAAAAATTTGTAGAGGAGAGGTGAAAGGTGAAGCAACAGAGAAATGAACTGGTGTGAAGTTGAGGTGTTTTGTTGATTAAATGGTATGTAGACACTGCTGTTGGTTGTTTTTGTTTCTAGTGACATGAAATGATGAGAAAATTTTCATATTTAAACAGTTATCCCTGTCTTAAGATATTGTGTCGAGATTTTTTACTCTGAAATTTGTCAATAAGATGATTACATTCCTATCGTTACGTTTTCTATTTTATGCTGAATATCCATAACTAACGTTTTTATTTTTGTCTTAGTATTAATATATATTAATTACAAACGTTCTTTATATACAATTTTTTAATAAAAACTACTTTCGCTCTTTAAGATTTCCAATTTATTTATGCGCTATTGACATTTTCCAAACCCAAACACTTATCACCGAAAGAAATCCAATCGTTGTACCAAACACAACCATTGTCGTTAATAAATTTTCATCTCCACCTTTACTATTCCCATTATTGTCCAAAGGTGATTCCACCCCTGGTGTTGATAAATTTGGTCTTTGTGCTACTTCACATAGATGTAAAAACAACTCATTTAGTGAACTTGGCCAGCTACTGCTGACATGTAAGGAAACGTTATTTTTCAAACATAATATCTTTTTGATATATTGATCCGGCTGATACTCACATCTTTGTTGCTGTTTATCTAAATCTGCTTTTAACCCAACAAACACCATTGGGATACTGAAATTGAAATTATAATTTGAATTATTATCATTAGTATTATTATTGTTTTTAATAAGATTTCCGTCTCTATTATTATCGTTAATGTTCAAATTACCGTTATTATGAGCATTAAGGGTATTAAGATTATTTACACTGCTGATATTTGTAGTGGTAAATTTTCCATGAATATTATTGAGAAAATTCCCATTGAATCGAGTGTTATCGTTAATATTGCTATTGTTGTCACTAAAGTATTTTTTGACTAATTCAATTAAATATCTAAATGAATCTGGATCGGATGAATCATAACATAAACATAATATATCACATTGGTCCAATTTTTTCGAGTTTTCCAATATGGCTGGTTCCAATTCACCTAATTCTTCCAAAATTAAATAGCATTGTTTACCACCTCTCAATTCAACACTATTGACCACCATCCGAGGCGTTATCGTAGGTGAATATAGTTCACTGAAACTTCTGCCCAAAAATGCTTCCATTAACGATGTCTTGCCACATCCTGATGAACCTAATAAAAAACAATTAAAAACTGTTCTATCATTAATTGAAGCGCGGTATTTATTGTTATTCTTGTACCTAATCTTTCTTGGTTTTGTAATTTTCAAAGCTGCACTTGTTGATATTTTTTTATTTCGTAAGCTTGGGGTAACAATGTAGTATCCATTATTGTTGGTATTATCATTATCGTTGTCATAAAATCCACTGATGTTATCATTGTTATTTCTAAGATTATTATTGTTGCTATTAGTTAGTGTGCCGGCGTCTTCAAACCCTAAATAGCCCAAGTATTCTAATGTAGTTTTGTAGTCCAAAAAGGTTGTCATTGACCATTGAGCTAGCCATCCTTGTAATGTTACATTGCCCTTTTCATTTCGAACAGTTGTCATCGGAAAATTGAATTCTTGCCATAATTTTGGTATTCCCGGTGTTGGTTGAAATAAGTTGTTCAATTCGTTATCATTTAGTCCTCCATCGTTATCTTTGTCAAATAGCGTAAATAAATCAACAAAAAACCGATATCCAATGGGTGATAGTTCAACTGATGAATTCAATGGGATATCAATTTTAGGCACTAAATAGTTTCCATCTAATGATAATGAATTTGTATAGTGGAATGTTCTTAAAATGCCCCAAATGGTTTCATGCCTTCCTTTCTCTGCGTATAGCCTATTTAGCATTATAAATCCTTCCTCTGTTATATAGTTGTTAGAATTAATCTTATTGCTTTTATATGTGCTATTTATATTATTATTATTATTATTATTATTATTATTATTATTATTATTATTATTATTATTATTGATGTTACCTTTTTTTGCATTATTGTCATTATTTTCTTTGTTTAAAAGTTTCAAGCTTTCGTTTATTGAAAATTTAATGTTATTTAACTCATTTAAATCAATATTTTTATGAAAACATTTTTTCTGCAAGTGTAAAAATTCGTTATCATTCAAGTATCCATCTTGATCTTTATCACATAAAAAAAAGATTCTTTTCAAAGCCTTGATAGCCAATGGTTTCAAGTTCATTTCTTTCGGATCATACAATGGGGAAATCGGATGAGTTACTGCTCTTTGGCACAAATAAAAGGCCTGGTTAACATTATAGTTTTCCTTTGCACTGCATCTTATACACGACTCAATTTCTTTGAATTCTTTCAACAATGGGATGAATTCGTCGGTGATTATGCTGTCTTTGTTCTCTTTGCTGTCTTTGCTGTCTTTGGCATCTTTCTTGTTTTCTTTTGGTTGCAAATCAGACTTATTGGCAGATAGCACGACTGGCAAGTTGACGCCCATGGATCGAAACATCTGCATCCAGTACAACGAAGTTCTCTCGTAGGTATAGTGGTCTGAATAAACGAGCCATATCACATCTGCCTTTCTGATCTCAGCCTGCAAACTCGTCAAATCCTGCGAAGAGGTGTCAATCAATAGCGTAGAATTGGGTGTGTATGGGGAGTAGGAAAAGTCCCTTGGAATGGAGATGGGAGGAAGCACATTGTCGATCTTGATCTTCAAGAAGGTGTCCTTCACCAACGACGTTATCAAACTGGACTTTCCCACGTTCTCATCTCCACAGATCACCACTCTGATTGTGTCCTCGCTCATCTGTCGGTTGGCCTTCGGCCAAAATCGCCACCAGCTCCAGCTCAGGAAGCACAAACACCCTCTTATCGCCGGAAGTTACCCGCTCTCACCGCCGAGGCACTTCAGCGCCTTCAAAGCTGTTCTTCTCCAGCAGCTCCTCCAGCAGCTCCTTCAGCCTTTGACGACGAGACATTGCGATAACTGAGAATGGTATGCCAATTGAGTCTGTGCTCAGCAATGCCAATGGCACTCTGCTGCCACTGCTTTTCTTCCTCTGTTTCTTCTACTAACTTTCTCGCCACCTTTGGCCTCTCCAGACTTCTATCGGAACAGGTTATGATTTATCAAATAGTGTGTTTTCTCCTGATGGAAGAAACTTCCAGGTCGAATACGCTGGCAAGGCTGTTGAAAACGCTGGCACTTCGGTGGGTATAAAGTGCAAAGATGGCGTTGTCTTTGCCTTTGAAAAAATAATAAGCTCGAAATTGCTAGTTCCTGGCAAAAACAAGAAGATTCTTTCAATAGACAAACATGTTGGCCTAATTGCTTCGGGCTTGATTCCTGATTCACGTCACTTGGCTAATAGAGCGAGACAAGAATCAAAAAATTACAGGTCCTTCTACAAATCTCCAATCCCAATTCCCTACTTGGTTGACAGAATTGGCAATTACGTTCAGGCACACACCTGTTACAATTCTGTCAGACCCTTTGGTATCATGTCAATTATAGGTGGTGTCGATGAGGATGGCCCTCATCTTTATATGATTGAACCATCTGGTGTTTACTGGGGTTATTTGGGCGCTGCTGCCGGCAAGGGCAGACAGATTGCAAAGTCTGAATTGGAAAAGTTGGATTTACCAAACATCTCTTGTAGAGATGCTCTCAAAGAGGCTGCAAGAATTATATATTTAGCTCATGAAGACCAAAAGGACAAAGAGTTCGAATTAGAAATGAGTTGGATCAGCTTAACTGAAACAAACGGCCGCCATCAATTCGTTCCAGAAGATTTATTAAAACAAGCAAAGCTTTTAGCTGAAGAAAGTGACGAGGAAGAAGAAGAAGATGAAGATGAAGAAATGCAAGAGAACTGAAATTGTTTTTTTTTTTTGAAAATCACATTCTAGACTTTTAATTAAATTAAATTAAATTAAATTAGATTAATAAATCAATATTTTCATTAATAACTTTCTTTTGATTTTTTGGTTGTTTTTTTCCATTTGGCATTTTTCTTGTTTATTTTTTAGATCGTATATTTGCTCTTAATTGAATTTTCAGGTTCCAATAGCTCCAGTATTATATTTTTCTATCTATTATTCTAATACACAAAACCCAATAACAATTTTGTGATTTTGTAATTTTATAAACCCCTTAACGAATTGATACCTGAAGCTTATACGTTCTCTTTACTACCTTCACTAAAGATAGAAAAAGAAAAAAAAATGTCATTAAAAAGTAATCTATAAAACTAAACAAAAAAAAAAAATGAGATTTGAGAAAGAAAAATTATGAAATTTTTAAAGGTTAAATGCTGAAAATTATTGAAAGCAAAATATTTTAAAATTTTGCCACTGAAAAACTAGTTCCATTTCCATTTTTGCAGATATCATTCAAATTTGATTTATTTTATACAATAAAAATAAATTTAAAAAAATCTATTTTGAGAAGGATTAACATTATTATTGGTGGGTAAAAAATTGTTTTGAAATGTATTTAGATCGATAGTCTGTTGACCTGTCGGGTTGCCCGTCATCTGTATCTGGTTTAACGATGGATTAAAAATATTATTATGAAAACCATTATGAAGGTTATTTTGATAGTTGGAGTTAGCAAAACTGTTCATTGACTGAATTCCAGTCATATTGCTTTGTAAAGTGTTTGTTACAAAACTAGAATTTGATACTTGATTATAACTATTTCCGTTTAAATTAATTACATTATTACTCAAATTATTGCTTAGATTAATATTAGCCAAATTGGGACTAGAAAAATTAAATCCTGGCAAATTCTGATTCATATTATTTCCTAATAAATTATTGTAAATATTTGTATTATTAGCATTATTCGAGACACTGTTTCCATTAATCGATTGCAAATTTGAATTTTGTTGATAGAACGAATTTTCTGTATTAGAAGTAGGAGGAGATTCAAAAATTTTAGGTGGAACTTTAGGAGGAATCCCATTAGAAGCTGCAAATAACAAATTGTTTCTTCTTGTAGGTGGGGGAGGTGGAGGAAAACTAGATAAAGACCCTCCGTTTGTTGTGAGATTCACACTTGAGTCTGAAAGGTTATGATTCAAATTAAGATTAAAATTTAAACCATTTGATTGAAGATCAGAATTAGAGACGACTTTTCTTAATGGCGGTTGAGGAACTGATAAAGTATTATTATTTTGAATATTTTGAATATTCTGTTGAATAAGTGAATTGGTGTTTTGAACTGGAGAAGAAGGAAATGTGGATGCCAATGGGGATGAAGCTCTTGGTATATTAGGATTGTTAAAACCTTGAAAAAAATTCATACCATTATTTAAACCGTTAGAAGGAGTTGAGTTTTCAATATTAATTGCTGGAATTGGAGATGAAGTGGAACGATTACGTCTCAGAGGCAATGGAGGAGGCGCCATTTTATTTGGAACCTGCGTTGTTATTGATAGTACTGGAGAGCTAGAATTTTGCGTTTGGAAAAAATTTGAGAAATCAGACAATGATTGCTGTGGTAATTGTACTTGGGTTTGAGGTTGTGGTTGGAAAATATTTGAAAAATCAGTTAAAGGTTGATTTTTCTGTTGCTGTTGTTGTTGCTGTTGTTGTTGCTGTTGTTCAATTTGAGGAATATGATCATTATTATGTTTTAACAAAGCATTTGCAGAACCAGTCATTGTTCTTTTCAACATTTTTGGCTCAGAATCATTCGAGTTTAAGGAAGGTTGAAGAGAATTAGAATTAACATTGTGTTTAAGAAAAGCATTAGCTGATCCAGTCATTGTTGGTTTAAGAAAAGCAGGCTGCATTTCTGGTTGAGGAGAGGAAGCAGGAGAGATATTGTTCGTTATCGAATCAAAAAAATTATTATAAGGTTTCAGTGGTAGTAAATTTTGAGGAATTGGTGCTGAGTTTCCATGAATTAAAGCACTTTCAACTTTGACATTTTGGAAGTGGGTAAAAGAGTCTTTCATATCTTTTAATTCTTCGGGTTGTTCTATTTGTAGTTGGGGAATTGGTTGTTGTTGATTGTTTTGATGTTTAGATTTAAGTCTTTCTAGTAATTCATTCATTGGTAGAGACATATCTAATTTGGATTCATCATTAAGAGGATCATAGCTTGTTTCCTCAGCAGTTGTTGTGCCCATTGTAGTGACCAAGTTTTGAGAGAAAGTGACTTTTTTCTTTTTCTTTCTTGGAGCTGAATTTGATGATGGTCTTTCACCGGTCATGATGAATTCAGCAAAACTGCTTATATCCAATTTTTGATTTTGAAAGATATTAACGTCTTTAGTGTTATTAGATTTTGCATTGTTTTGAGAATCTGAATTTGCCAAATCATCACTTTTTCTTTTATTTTTGCTTGTTGATAGGATTGAAGCAGGCTGTGGGATGTTCACCTGTTTTATGATAAATTCTCTAGTGATGGTGAAATCAGCGATTTTTAGAAAGATGGCATTATAAATAATGTGGGCAATTAATCTAATTGCAGCGAAAAATTCACCGATATTGATATTCCTAGTTAAATTTGAATTAAAAATTTTTAAAATCTGATTGTGATAGGTCCTGTTATTGAAATTGAAGTTTTTGAAAAATTCAAAGATGTCGTTGAAATTGATTAGTTTTGTATTTTTATGGATAATTATATTATTGTACCACCTTAAATAAGTCTTTGCTTCCAAGGGAGACAATTGGTCCATGGTTAGCGATAAGGGGATATTTTTGGTGTCACTTGCGGTTAGAGATAAGGAAGATATTGATGAAGTAATTTTATTGGTTGTAATAGTATTTGTAGTGGTTTCAATGGAGGTAGAATAAGGATTATTACTCTTTTTGCTGACAGTTCGATTGAAGCTAGAAATGGTGCTGGTATTGTTGTTGTAATTTGTCGTAGTATTAGTTGATAAGGACAAATTTGAAAAGTTGTTTGTTAGATTGTAGCCATTTTGAAAAGCCTTATTAATGTTGTTTGTGTTGTTTGTGTTGTTGACGTTGTTAGTTTGGTTAATGTTGTTGATGCTATTAGTGTTGTTAGTGTTGTTGATGCTGTTATTGTTGCTATTGATGTCGCTTATGAGATTAGCGTTGGCATTATCGTTATCATTGTTGGAGGAGTCGTAGGGTTTCAAGCCCGAAAAAGCCAACCAGTCAAATTCAGAGTCGTTCATTGTGCTTCATGAAAATAGTAGCAGATACAGCAGAAGAAGATAGTAGAAAGAACAGTCCAATGACAGAGAAAGAAGAGTGGAATAAGAACAAGTTGCTTCTGCTCTAGGTGGAACTTGTGAAGAGGCTCGCCGTTTAAAGTAAGAGTTGAGTTCGGATCACAAGACAGCTGAAACACTGGCGAAGAGGAATGAAGCGTTTCAGCAGCAGAACAACAGCAGCTGGAGAAGAGAACAGGAGGAGCTATCGCTGCGATGGCTGTGTTTGGGGCAGTTCTGTCAGCAATCTTGGGTCCAGGCAGAGCAACTCTAATGCGATAAGCAAGACTACGATAGCGATAGGGCCATGATAGGACCATGATAGGGAATATGAGTGCGAGAATGGTATTGATGAAAAGTATGCTGGGGAGTACTGTTCTCGACGAGACTAATTATACACGTACAACTAAAGTGAAAGAGATAAAAAAACAAGAGTGATATAAAATAATAACAGACAAAACAAATTATTATGAGCAGCAAAAAAAGATGAACCAATTGAAGCGAAAGAGAACTGAAAAAAAAGTTACATTCCCATTCCACCCATGCCAAATTGCTTCATCATCTGCTGCATTTGGGGATTCTTCATCATACCCATCACATCGGCAGGGTTGGGCATGCCTCCAGCTCCACCCATGCCCCCCATGGACTTCATCATTTCTTGCATGTTTGGCATGCCTCCAGCACCACCTCCAAACATCTTCATCATGTTGTTCATCATGCCTGGGTTACTTTGCATCTGCTGCATTGCCCTTTGGATGTTCTGTTGTGAGGGCATCATGCCTCTGTTACCTGCCATTGGGTTTCTGCCCTTTTGAGTATTCATCATGCTCATGTTTGTCTTTGCCATTCTAGCCATCATTCTTTGCTGGAATAATACCATTTCGACCTCTGTGACGGTGGTTCCTGAGCCTCTTGCAACCCGAATGATTCTTGAAGGTTCGTCAATGAAAATCTGTCCATCTGAGTCCAATTCCTGTTTCGTCATTGAATCCATTATGTATACCATCCTTTTTAATCTTTTAGAAGCTTCTTCTTCCCCAATTTGGTTCATCATATCACCCATCCCTGGAATCATATTAGCAATTTGAGCCAAGGGGCCCATTTTAAGAATATTAGTCATTTGCGTTTGGAAATCATTCAAAGTGAATTTTCCCTCTTGAAAGTTCTTTATTGTGTCCTTTTGATCTAAATTTAACGATTTAACATGTTCCATTAACCCTTGAATATCACCGATACCCAATAATTTCGAAATAAATTGTTTAGGGAAAAAAGTCTCAAAATCCTGGGTGTGTTCACCAGTACCGATAAATATTATCGGGGTCTTGGTAGCAGCAACAGCAGATATCGCACCACCACCTTTAGCTTCACCATCCATTTTCGTTAATATAATAGCACCGAAATTCGAGGATTCCTTGAAAGCCTGAGCTTGCTGTTGTGCAGATTGACCAATTGAACCATCCAAAACCATAACAGTTTGCTGAGGTTTGACTGCATCGCCGATTTCAACCATTTCCTTGAACAATTCCTTTTCTTGACGATGTCTACCAGAAGTATCAACAATTATAATTTCAAACTTTTGCTTTTTAAATTTTTCTACACCAATTCTTGCTACCTCAACAGGGTCGGTTTCAGTGTACGACCCAAAAAAGGGTATTCTGGCTTTGGTTGCATTTTGTTTTAATTGATCAAAAGCACCAGCTCTAAACGTATCGGCACAAACTAACCCCACCTTGAAATTTCTTTTCTGGTAGTATACAGCTAATTTGGTACAAGTGGTTGTCTTACCAGCACCCTGCAACCCAACAAACATTATCACATTTGCTTGATTCTTTTTTGGTTTATAAGGCTGGGCTTCGCAATCGACCAATGCACATAACTCATCAAAAACTGTTTTCTGGATCAATTTTTTCTTATTCAATCCGGGGGTCTTATCGTTTACTATTTTCTTTTTGATGGAGTCTCGCAATTTCAAGACCAACTTGATGTTCACATCACTTTCGAGCAACGCTCTGGATATCTCCTTCAACATGGTGTCGATGTCTGCCTCTTCAACACTCGTGGTGGAAGATGTGACTTGTGCCACAGCAGCATTGATTCTTCGTCCTAGATCAGCTAAAACCATTGTTCTCCTGCTGTTGTTCTTGCTGTTTCTGCTGTTTCTGCTGCTGCTTCTTCTGGAGAAAGTCTGAGGGCGATTTAAACAGCGTTTCCTTCCTTAGAAAAGCGCACGTGATCTGCAGAGACCGTCGCTGCGGGTGCTGCTTTTTTTCTTTCTTCTTCTGCTGCACAAACAGCAAAGAGATGGAAAGTAGCTCAAAGCCATGGACTCTACTGATATTTATGCCAACAACCCAGACGACGACTCCAACTTCAACAAAGACGACTTTGCCGAGTCGTTGAAGGCCTGCACTGTCATCAAAAGCGCCGGCGTCGCGTTATTCAGAAACAGCGATTTACCAGAATCACTAAACAAATTTATGAAATCGTTGAAATATTGCAATGAATTGATGCCAACAGATTCTTCTATATCGCCATTGTATACAGGTTTTCTCAATTTGAAGAAGTCTCTATTTCTCAATGTTTCGTTGATTTACTTGAAGCAAAATAAATATCACGAATCAATCAAGTACTGCAACTATCTCATCGAACTAAAAGAATCCTATCCAGATTTCGATCAAACAGTCTCTGAGAAAGATTTAACAAAATGTTACTATCGATTGGGTAAAAACTATTTGAATTTGAAGAAATATGATCAAAGTCTAAAATACCTACTCAAAGCAAATAATCTCGATCCAATTGACAAATTAATTAAATCAGATCTACAAAACTGTCAATCAATAATAACTCGCCAAAGGGAAAATGAAAAATCAAAATATTCAAAATTCTTCAACTAAATTTAACAATTCTTATATTTCGCACTAAAATTACTTTAAATATACTATATAGAGAATATTATACAATAAACATTTTATCTGGTCTTTTTCACTATTTTGTTTCACTATTTTGTTTCACTATTTTTTTTCCACTCGTTTTCTACTTATATTTCAGCAAATGCAACAGCTACTGCTTGGATATCATTGTGGCTAATACTGACTTGGAATCCCCTAATATCAGAATCAATAGCAGCATCAGCGGCATCTCCGTGTAATTGAACCTTTGGAGCACCAGTTTTGGCATCACGAATAATTTCAATGTCCTTCAATGGTGCACCGGCTCCAAGTGATACTGTATCTAATGCCTTGAAAACAGCTTCTTTAGCTGACCAAGTGCCCGCAAATGAGGATTGGGGTGAGGCAGTATTAGAACAATAAAGAATTTCACTTTCAGTAAAATTGCGTTCAATAAATGTTTCATTGTTAATATTAATTTCAGAAATTAACTCAACATCAACTCCAACATTTTTTTGTCCTTTTGTCATCAATGATAACATTTTTCCGGTCTTATCAGCTTCGTCATATAACAATGTCTTTTGAATAGCCTTTTCGCTGTATTTCAATTCCTTATCATTTAATTCAACTCTGACTAATGGATCCAAGTAAACTGGTTGTTCCAACGCATCATCAAATGGTGCGTGCTTCTTAGCAACAAACATCGAACTTCTGGTCAATGCTGTATGTAAGTAACGGTAGGTACGTTTTTGACGAGCAGCTCTTCTAACAGCATAATCATTATAAGTATTTTCGTCAATAGCACCAAAAATATAATCTGGATGGATAACAATAGCCTGAGCTCCCTTTTGTCCAAATCCAAATGAGGTGACTGAAACTGCTTTAATTCCATCTGTCTTAAGAGTCTTGGATGGATACAAGATATGGTCGTATTGTTGTAAGACATTATCAACATTGTCTGCATTCCTATTGCCTGGAACAGTACCTGAATTCAAAATTTGAATGGCCCCATTAAGCATCCAGGCACCAGCTGCACCCTTTGGATGTCCAGTGAGGTATTTTTGAAAAACACCAATAACTGGATTACCTTTGGCACGTCCAAGATGTTTCAACATTCTATCAATAGTTTCGGATTCATTCTTATCGTTGGCTTTGGTTGATGTACCATGGAAGGATGCAACACCCAAATCATCAATGGTTAATCCAAAAGCTGCAAGACTTGCACGAAGTGGTGCAATTCTTTCATTCTTGAAAATATCAACTGTATAATATCTCTTAGCATTCTGAATTTCTTTACTAGCTTGAGTTTTAAGTTCTTGCACTCTCTCGTTAATAAACTCTTCCTTATTAAATATTTCTTCGGTATCTGCCATTGAAAGTGCTTCATCTTCAACATCTAAAAGATCTTCTTCTAACATTCTATTAATATTTCTAATTCTCTTTTCCAATTGACGTTTACGGAATTTAATGTCCAAGATTGGTGTTGGGTATTTGTATGATCCATGATGTTCTCTTGCAGTGGTTAAAATACCTTTACCTGGTGCAGGAACTGAACGACCAATCTTATCACTAGCAGTACTTGTCATACCAACAATTGCATAAATTGGAACACCCATTTCCAATGCAAGCTTAGCCGTCATAATAACTTGAATACCGGAACCTTGAGATTCCATGAAACCATTTCTTGATGTAGTTGCTGGTCTTGACATTTCAGTTGGTGGACGACCACTTTCTAATTCTTCAACAGCATCACTAGTAGCCTTCATATTGGCAAATTCAAATGATCCTTCTTCTTGGAGATCATCATAACCACCAACAATACAAACTTTAGCTTTTTTGTTTAAAATAACTTCACAACCAACTTCAACTGATTCAATAGCAGTAGCACAGGCACCGACTGGTGTAAGAATTGGACCAGATGATGAAACTAACAACATATTAACCCAAGCGGACATGGTATTAATAAATGACTCTTGAAGAATGTCATTTTGAACAGACATGTCTTTATATCTATCTTTGAACATTCCTCTAAGAGCATTGATACCACCCATACCAGAACCAGAACAAATACCAAATTCACTAACGTGAATATATTTGTAAAATTCATATGGATCACAAACACCTGAAGAAACCAAAGCTTCGATAGTAGCAACTAAATTGAATAAAGTAACTTGGTCAACTTGGTCAATGATATCGTCTGGAACACCATAACGTTTAGCGTCCCAACCAGTTGGTATTTGACCAGCAACTAAACGGTTGAAACGAATAGCTTTTGGAATAAATAATATAGCGCCCTTTTTAATGGCAACACTATATTCACCAGAATTGTTTTTAAAGATTTCACACTTATCTTTGTGCTCCTTTTTGTATGCTAAAGCAGTTTCTTCAGAAGTAACAAATGGTTCCATGTCATGTTCAACAACAACTTCTTGAAGTAATTGTTTGTGGCTTGGATCATAACCATTGAATAAATCAGGTTCAATCAAACGAATACCAGTATGTTCAATAATGTATTTACCATATTTAGTGTGAATGTCTTGATCTTCAATTGGAGCTCCAGATTTGGCATCAACCCAACCAGCATGTTTTTGAGTATTTTCATATCTAATTAAACCCATAATGTAGGCCAAATAAATAGTGGATTCAATACAAAAACCACCATTGGCTTCCATATCCCAACGAGTGGCAGATGAACCGAAAGGACTGACTTCAGCAAAACCTGTGACGACAATAACACTTTCCAAATCAATAAGGTTTTCAAGATCAGGAGCAAGTTTTTTAATATCTTTATAAGGTTTAAGGGTTGGGAAGTGATGTTGCATATTAGAACGAGGTTGTAATTCAACTTTATTGTAGTTTGAGTGGTCATCGTTTTCGCCAAATACAACTTTATGTTCAATTGATGATTCAACACTAACCGCCTTACGGATTTCACTAGTTCTTTGGTATTCAGCACGTAAGTTAGCAGTCAATTCTCTCAAATTGGTTAAGAATTGGAAACCACCATTAAGATCAGCTTTAACTGGTCCATCTTGAGCCAATTGAGTGACTTGTTCAGACAACAAACCTAATAAATTGAAAGCCATTTCCTGTTGAGAGAAAGTACGAACTCCATATTTCTCAATACCTTCAGCAACCATGTTATTACCAGACATAAGACCAGTTCCACGAGTCCATCCAATGACAGCACCAACAATAGTCAAGTATGAACCCCAGTCCTCACTGGCCCATTTGGCAAATAATGTTTCCAAAGAAATCTTAGATTCAGAATAAAGACCATCAGAACCAAATAAACCATGATTTGGAGATAATGGTAAAATAACTTCGGCAGGTCTTGTTCTAAAACCTCTTTTCTCTTTTTGAATCTTAACTTGACCCATAATTCTGTAAACATTAGTAAGCATAATTCTGTGAGCCAATTCAGATTTGGAGTTGACTTCAGTTGCTTGAATACCATTTTCTGGGATGGCAGCAAATGGAATAATAGCATCAAGATCCCAGCCTAATTCTGAGTAAATAAAGTTAATTAAAGAATCAACATCTTGAACTGAACCTTGGTTAAATGGAACAACAATAAGTTTAGAACCTTTTGAACCGTATTTGATATAAAGATTTTTATAAAAGTTAGTACTAGCACTGTTGAATCTAGATGTGGTGACAATAACTTTAGCACCACCTGTGATAAGACCCTTAACGATATCAGCACCAATTGAACCACGACCAGCACCTGTAACAAGAACGAATTTTTCTTTGAAGGTAATACCATTCATGGCAGCGTCTTCTAAGGTGTCTAAATAAGTTGCAGTTAATGAACGGTCGTAGAGCCATTCACCAGTAGGAGTCTTCTTTTGAATATGTAAGAACGGAATAGTTTCTGGTGGAATTAAACTAGAAACCGGTTGATTAATTTCAGTTTTGTCAGGCAATGAGGCAATTTCCGAAGTTTCATCATCTGAGGCATCATCATCACTATGAGCTGAAGCTAAAATAGAGGCAGCTGAGCGTTTAGTTTCAATTTCTTCCGAATGATCGTCAATGAAAGTGAGTAATTGAGAGTATAAGTCATTAACTTCTAGTTTTGTTTCTTTAGTTAATGAGGCTTGTTTGATTAGAGCTTTGTAAACTTTAACCAAATCTTCTTTAAGAGTGGGTTCTTTAATCTTTGTTAATTCACCACCTTGAGCAATGGTAGTAACATATTGAGATAAAGATCTAATGTTATCTCTTGGAACTTCAGCGTACTTGATATCACCCTTTTCAGTGATTGTTGTTTTAGGACCAGTTGGATAATCAACGTCTTTGAAAGCAGGATCCTTTTCAAGGACTTGTTTACAGTTCTCAATTAATTGAGTACCTAATTTATAGGCCAAAGAATATTTGAATTCATCATTATCTTCATCCTTTGAAAGGACACCGGCTTTTCTGATGTGGTATTGCATGAATGTTATTAATTCTTCCGAAGCTTTATTCATAACAGCAATACATTTTGATACGATTTCTCTGTCAACGTTTGACAATCTGCCAAAGATGATATCGTAGTACATTTGTAGGACATCTTGTCTTGCCCAATTCCAAAAGGAGTCGTAAACTCTGCATTTCTTTGAGCTAAAGATTGGTTTAATACCAGAAACAAAGGCATCACCTAATTCTGTGTTAAATAGATCGATTTCTGATTGTAGGGATTTATTAAGATTTTGTTCCTCAATGACTTTTTTGTCACCTTCTCTAAGGTCAATTTTGAGATATCTGGCAAGGATTTCCAAGTGTTGTCTTGCCATTGTCTTTTGATCTTTGGTGATTTCATCAAGAGCAGATGGGTCGAACATTGGCATACCACCAGCGGCACCACCAGCAGCACCGCCTTGAGATAAGTTAACACCAGCTACGGAGGCGTATTTTTGAGCGACAGAGTCTAGGAAGGAATTTGCTTCATCTTCAGAGGCCAAACGTTTTTCAGGTTGCATAGTCAAAGCAACTAATAAAGAGGCGTTTTGACGACCTTCCCCGAGACCCCATTTTTTTTGTAAGTAAGATTTAGCAGAGGTGGTTGTAAAGCCACCGGGCATCTTTGATGAAATGAATTTTGAGATTAAAGCGGTGGAAGTTTTACCCAATTCTCCGTTATAAGATTCTTGGAATGAATCAGCCAATTCTTGTAGAGGAGTATCTTCAGGTTTCTCGGGAGTTGAGCCAAATTCTTTACCCAAATCACCAAGAATTTCATTTTGAATGGTTGATTTACCGTTGAC